CCACCCCCATCCCCCTCCTTTTCCTGAAACCCTCAAACCTTTACCCATACCCGTTTTCTTACCCAAATATTATCATATTACATTATCCCCCTTTTCTCAAAGCTTTTCCACCGAGCCTTCCTTTCTTTGGGTGTTTCGTTACTTGTACCAGTGTCTTCTGGTTCCCTCCTTTCTAGCATAAAGTGTATTGTTTGTATATTTACACACTATTGTGTGAGGTGATCAGCCTTTTCGTCATTGTGTGTGATCAATCTGTACCATGGTGATGGGTATATTTCTTCGAACTTCCACGAAACTGAATCTTTCACTTAGTTCAAGAGTAGGTATGGATATGTAGCCTTCTGTAACTTCTAGTGATATTTTGTTATCTTCTCAACATTGATGGCTTAAATAATAATTATAATAATTGAGACGGTTGATGAGGACGAATTACTTATAATATACTTCATTTAGCGAAATTATTTTTAAAATTACAAAATTAAATAAATGTTGCTCCTAATGGTTTTGTTAAAGCATTTATTGATCAAGTAGTGGGTTAATTCCAGTGCCAGTTTATCCAATATACTTTGCAAGTGTTAAGTCTAAATTGTAGAGTGCTGTTTTTCTACAACGGTGTCACCTTTTCTGTAAAACCAGTGGTTTTGACTTACCTCAAGTGCTTCTTCCCTTGCTTACTCCCCAAGCTTACAACCTCACAACCACCCCTGTATATGTTGACCCCTCAGTAACTCAGAACTCACAACTATACTCCCCGCGCTGATCAGAGTCAAGTCTTTATCTCTCTCTCTCTCTCTCTCTCTCTCTCTCTCTCTCTCTCTCTCTCTCTCTGTGTGTGTGTGTGTGTGTTTGTGTTGTGTGTGTGTGTATGTTTGTGTGTATTATTTTATTCCCAACTGTTTTATTTAACTGTAAAACCAGAAAGGTAATAATAATCCAGAAAGAAAGACATTTGTACATGTGTCGTGCATAAAAAAGGGTTTAATGTTAGTCTGTAAACAGGTAAAAGGACATTGAGGTTTCTTAAACGTCTACTTTTTTTGTGAAAGAAATGTCATTCAGTAAATTAAGTTTGTTCAAATAGAAAACTTTAATAGTTCCATCCCCTTGTCAGAACAGAGAGATAGTAAAGCGTTCCATTATTTCAGTCCCAGAACATTCAGATGAAACATGCACGAAACAAACTACGAGTATAATAACAACATTCTAAGTCTCGGGTTGCATCCAGATATATCCAAACCTATCCACGTATAACTATTATCTAAAAATCGTTCTGATAGACATTTATCAACCCTGACCCATTGACCTTTTGTCGCCTTTGTCACCTTTCACCTCACATTGACCCTGCACTCTTCTCATAACTACCCCCTATCTTTCTCAAACCCCCCTACCCTTCTCATACCTAACTCATTCCCCCCTTCTCATAACTACCCCCCCTCCTTCCCGCCCTTCTCATACCTACCCCCCACCCCCACCCCACCCCCGAGCTATGGCATTGGTCAAACAGCTCGGAGTGGGTGGTTCCCCTTTGTTGTACTCACTCCCTGTTGTGTTCACGGTTGTCGTTTTCTTGTTTCAGGTGGAAGAGAGCATGAGGCGTTTCATGATGTTCCATCGCCGCTACTAACTCCTCCTCCTCCTCCTCCTCCTCCCCCTCCTCCCTCCTCCTCCCTCCTCACAACAACACCACCACCTCCGACTTTGTCGCTTTAGTCACTTCTGGACACGCCTACTGATCACTCACTGGATAGTTTGTGCACCGAATGACCTCACTCCCACCCGCTGTTTGCAAAACCAGCACAACCACCAACATCGGCGGACTTGCGTTTATCACGTATTATGATAATAATCATAATGATGCTAATAATAATAACAACATTATCATAGCTTGTTATGCTCTCTGTGTCATAGATTCCTCACTGCGTCAAATTTCTCCTCTTTGGAAGATAACCAACCTTCTGGACTGACAAACGTCTTTGAGCTGTTTTGGCATGCTAGAATTATTAAAAACACTTTACCCAGACTTGCTTACTTGCTTTGTAAGAGTATTTGAAACTTGCACCAAAAGGGGATAGTTCCGAAAACATTTCTCTGGAAGGATATTCAAAAGCTTGTAGTCAGCAATAAGTGAAAGGATTTAAATGCCAGTACTCCCTTTCCGTTTTCGTTCCTCCAACCTCCCACTTTTGAGAGCAATGATTCCCAGCCCCACACTTTGTATACTAAAGCTTAGTGCGAATCGAAATAAAATGTCATCCATTTTCAAGACTTTGGCGTGGTGGTCTTCTTGTATAAAAAAAAGCATACATGCCTAGAGTGCTCGCAGAAAATAACTGTGGTTACGGACTGTGGTTACGGAAATCAATATAATAGTATTATACCCACCCCTCGCCTCAAGGTGCAAGTATACACTACGGCTTTCAATAACACGTTCCAACCACTGACTCTCACTGTTTCTCTTCATAAGTCAATGTATGTGTGGTATTCCTGAGAGGGTCAACAGTTTGGAATTATGACACAGAGCGGAGACGGGGTTGGGGAGGGGGGGGGGTCAACTGTCTCTTAGTGCTGGAATGTTTATCTTATCTGCTTTGAATAGCGAAAGAGCATTTCCTGTTTCTAGTTCTTCACAGTCCCTTAAAAATCACATTTGCACTTACAAGATTGACAGTTAGTTTGACTGATCCAGGAAAGACAAAATGTCCTTTCAGATTCGATAAACGAGGAAATCGTATTTGCTTGTACGACTACAGCTTCTAAAACAGAGGTAACTTTATTTTAAGTATAGGTCACTTTCAGTGTCCAAGCTACCCCCCAAATCCTTTCGAGCCCCTCCCAGAAAAGTCCCCCATCCCCATCTATTGTACATGGAAATGTTGGACTCGGACAAAAGACGTCTCTAACTTTACGTATTAACTTCTGGGACGTGAAACGTTCACACTAGACATAATATCCCCCCAAGTTGTACTACATACTGACCTGAAAATACATAATACTATTGGTTTTTGTAAGCAATGTAACATGTGTAGTACATATTTCTGTTGCACATATCGTATCGTCGTGCTATCTGGCATTACTATGAGAGGGGAGGAACCATGCACTAATGCTCCCTCGCTGTGTACCTCGGGCACTGGCGACTGGAGTCTCGACAAAACACTGCATATTGTTGGTGTAGTCCACGCCTCTAAACCCATCACAGGGACTGCATGGGAATGCTCGCACACGTCACGTTAACATAACAACAGCAACAACAACAACAGCTACAACAACAATGCTTGTTAACATTCGAAAAAGCTCGCAAATCACGTTTTGCTGCTTTGCATGACGTCATGTAATGCTACATTGTCCATAAACAAAGATGGCAGAAGTCCACTAATCTGTCAATGTCTGTTTTGTTTCATTTGTTGTTTACTTTGCGATGACTTCTTTCAAAAATGATGAAATTGAAATTAATTATTGTGTCTTTGAAAGACTTCGATTTTTTTTTCTAAACTTTTGTTTTTGTTTTCTTTGTTTGGTTGGTTTTTTTGGTGGGTTTTTTTTTTTTTTTTTTGGGTTTTTGCCCCTATCAACACAACTGAGACAATTTAAGGGGGGGCATTCAAAATGGCTTGAATGTTTTTAAAGGCCTGTGTATTTATTCTAAATATCAACATTTGTATTTCTTTTATCTTGTGACTTTTTCAAGGTGCCTTGATGATACCTCCGACCTTGCCTTCATCCGGGTTACAAAACACGTCATCTTTTTCTAGAACCTCCAAGGAGAGAATTTGGACTTCCTTATTTTGTCAAAATCTGTTTTTGTTATAGTTATATCTACACAAATTAAATGAACATTCACAAGGCCAAATCATCCTAACGTTTAGACGTCGTCATTGAAAAAAAAAGCAGCAATGGATTAACATGAACAGTTCTATAAATAAGCTTCTAAATATCACTATTTGCCTCATTTAATCGGAAAAAATCATGTGTGTGTTTAAACGAAGAAGTGGATTAATGATCACTCCCATAATTCAAATGCTGGCCTTTAACATATCAACCACCATGACAGGAGGGGTTTTTTTACACATTGATTATGTGAATCTATCTGAAAGCAGTGGCGTTTGAAAGTTGACGAGAGTTCGAGACAACATGACATTGTTTCTTTTTTTTTTATTCTTTTTTTAAAATTAATATAATTTTATTTGTTTTATTCATATTATTTTATTTCTGTGGACAGTTTAGACACGCCCACAAACTGGGCAATTTCACGTAACTTGACACATGAGGAATTTTGCATATATTGACAAATCAATTAACCGTTTACACACGCCACCCTATGTTGACTAATTTATGAATAATTAATTTTTACTTATTCGCACTGTCATCGTGCACACATCTATGCTCTATTGTTATGTCCTGCTGTATGATATCAACTACGTAGCTTTTTGGAGTCCTCTTTTGTCGCAAGCCCCTCGTTTCTCCATTCGGGGGGCGACTTTTCATAAATCCCTATACGTTGTTCTCTTCACTTCACAACACAGCAACGTAACAGCAGCAAAGGGACAACGTATGTAGGAACAGTGTGCTGTTCAGTGCGTTTTGTATACTTTTGAATCTTTATTTAAAGTTTAACATCTCATCAGACTCATGAAGGTGCTATTTGAGCGGCTGATGGCAGTGGTTTATTGCAGAACTATAGAGCTTTTTAGAACTTTGATTTTTCAACCAGTTTCTTTCTCAGTTCAGAGAGAGTTGCGCGGGAATTGTACATTTACTTTTGGGAAAAAAGGTTTTGTTTGATACCTTTGTCTTGGCCTTGTTGAAATCACTCAGTTGCATAATAATCGATTGATCTGGTCATGCCAATATTTTTTTTAAATCCTGTATGAGCATTTCATGTGAACAATTGGCCTTGTCAGTGTCTTAAAAGACATCAGTTGAACATAACTAAAAATGGAAACCACTGATCAGCACATTGTTGCTAAGGGCAACAGAGGACGCCATGATTATTGTGTACGGCTTAGGGTGGCGCTATAATCCCATTGCAGTGATTGGAATCACTTCATCATTTCTGTTTGAAAATGGCAGTCTGTTCGTCAGTTATCTACCCATAACAGTTAAGCAGCATAATCATTACTAAAAGCAATGTATGTGTACATAGATGTGTTTGGTTTTTGTGACCTCGTCAAGTGTACGACTTTAGACAGGTTTCAGGGCCACTTACTATATTATTATTATTTCTTTTGAAAATCGAACTTGATTTTTTTTCTTTTCCTTTTATTAAATTGTAATGTGCTTTTGCGTAATATATTCCCTCTTAAACATCGATGGAAAATTAATAATAATAAAGACAAGATGGGAATTAATTTGAAAGCGATAGCAAATATTTTAAAGTAAAATTTAAACAGAAACCAGCAGTTTTAAAAAATAATATCTTTGTCAGATTGGGTAAAAGGCCAAATTGTTTTAGGCAATATTTGACAATTTCCCAATCTTTCCTTATGAAACCTTGTTTTAATAATTATCGTTGCTATTTTTCCTGTTCATTTTCCCCTATGATGTTTACGGCAGTAGCTATGTTTCCCATTCTGTTCGCTGCTACGATCATTGACTTTGTACATATATTATAGACTGAGCAAAAGGAAAGTGTGAGTGTGCAATAGCAGTGGACTGCACTAGTAGTAGAATGACGCTATGTTCACAGATGACTCCAAAACTGTTGTAGCCCGCGTGATTTGTGTTGGAAGTTATTGTTCCATTTGGAACTGCCTTAAGGTTTTCACTTTTGTGACATTTTTTTTTTATTTAAAAAACTTTTAGAGATGTCTTTATTGAAGCTGATAGCTTCATTTAGGAATTTTTTTAGGGCAAAGTAGAATATTGACCTAGCTCACGTTGAGTGGAAAAGAAACGTAGTTAAGTAAACTGCTACCAAATAATCTAAATAACTATGTTCAAGTACTAAGTTGAAGTTTTAGTTTTTTCCCCAGTTTTTATTTTCGCTTAACGTGACAGTGAGAGGTGTCCACTGTGCCTATTTGCGATATAACCAGAAACTATGTAATGATAAATGTGCAAGGCGAGAAATCTTAAGGCAGCTCCTATCAGACATGATCTGTGTACAGTTATGCTTTTACCATAATAATATTATGTTATCATCTTAGGTTCGTGTATGTACGTACGTGTTAGCTTTAAGTATATAAAATATGTGTTTCGAATATTTCGGACACAATGCATACGATGAGCAGCTTCGTGTCTTTAGGAGAGCTTCCGGTGTTTAGAGAGTTTTGGAAACGGCAATGGATTTTTCACACAAGAAATGAAACGTATCTTTAAAACGTATCTTTAAAATGTATCTTTAAAACGTATCTTTAAAACGTATCATTAATTGACAGGCATGTTTACTCTGCATTGATGATTACTTTTTCAACAAAAGTGAACAGATTTTGATCTATTCTGACAATATCATTATCCTGTTATATTATGTGATTTCAGAGTGGTATCAAGTTGTAGCAGGGCCGAAAAGGGCGCCATTTTTAAAAGAATCCTAGCTTTGGATGTCTCTACATTTACCATGTTAGGTTGTTTTCTGAACGAACATGAAGCTGCTCATGAAATATTATCCACATGTTCATTTATTGTTCTACTGTTTTCTGTCTCCGGTAGAGATACGTGGTTTCATCGTAGCGAGAATTATGTAGAGAATCAGAAGAGAAAATAACGAGTAAGGCTTTTGTAGTAATTGTAAGCATGTCTGTGTGTAGTCTGTTATTCCTGTTTAATTTATTCCATTGATCGCTGTGTGCGTATTTGCGTTTGGCCATCACCAAATGACATCTATGTTACTGTTTAAAAACTTGCAAAACAGTTCCTTTTGGTGATTCCAACTGCTTCTTGTTTAGTTCTTTTTGTGAAAATAATTTGATCCAAGTACGAGTTGCGAGTTTAGTAAAGCATGTGTCCATCACTTCGGTGAGATATATGCTCAGCTAAACACTGGCTGCTTTTGGCCAAGTCATCTTGTAATGGCCGGGGTAAAATGGCCTTATGTTTCCTTCCGATAAATTGTCGATAATAATTGCTTATTATAGAGCGGAAAATCCATCACATTTCGCCTAGTCGTTATATTGAATCCAATGCTTTCATCTCATACGGTAAATACAAGTGTCGAAAAAGATCGTATTATGTAAAATCAGTAGTTAAACCAAGCAGTTGGAGCATGTATGTTTGAAATAGGAATACGTATTTAGAGCAGGTAGATGGAATAATGATGTGTCGTTGGTGAAAAGGGTTTGTTGTATTGTGCTAGGGTGTTTTTTTTCTGTGGATTTATGTGATTGTGATACAGTGCTGTAACATATTCTCCTCAATAAAGTCGCATTTTTCACACGGTAGATACTTCGGTGTTGTTGATTTTTTTTTTTTACCGTGATGTAAGTGTGTGTGTTTATTGACTCACCTGTGTGTGGTTGGCGGGTGCTCTGGTGTGGTTTGTATCTTCTTTCCTATCAGACATCTATCGTCCTTTTCTCTCCTCCATCATTGTTATGTTTGTTACTCTCTTGTAACACCTCTAATCTTCGGCACTTATATGACCTTATTGTGTTGCAAGTGCAGTAAAACTCTTGCTAAAACTAAAACTGTGTGAATTTATTAACGCCCCTATCAACACTGCTGTGTTATTTAAGAGGTGGGATCTCTGAATTGGACGTCGTTCGTTTCCGATAAGATTCACCAAATGGATTGAGAGCCTTGAAAAACTCCACAAAAACCCCCAGAGTTTGCCCTGTCTGGATTCGAACTCGGGCCATCCACTCCGTATTCCAGCATGTATACCAACAGACCTAGCTAACAGAACGCCCTCAAAGCTTAATAATAAGCTGACATGTTATGTTTCATCTCTTTTTGTACACATATTATTTGAAGCTTGCTGATGTGTCGAGAGAAAGCGTACACTTGATCTTCCTTATGGAAGTTCAAGGTTTGAATCCCAGTGGGGGACAGAATTTCTGTTCTTTCCTTTGTGGAAAATTTCCCCCAGGAGTATTACGTGATGAATCCACACCATTCTTTGCACGCCGAGCGTTTTACAAAATCAAACAAGGAGTAACAAACTTTTAAAGACCGTCTATTAAATATTCTTGTCGTAGAAGTTTTTTAACGCCCCCATCAACACAATTTAGGTATTTCAGGAGGCAGGCTGGTTCAGCCCTGTCTGTTAGGACCACACTCTGGTTGAGAGAGATACAACATCCCATCGTGAAGACGGTGTCAATCGGTAAAAATATCCCCCCCCCCCACTTGGGAATCGAACTCGCTTTGTGATTCATCATCGCCATTGCTTTTCTCACCCTTGATCAAGATATAGACCATGAACAATCACTTTCCACTTTTCCCTATCCTAGGCTAGTCTTTGTGATTACTACCCTTCATTAAATGTATTGTTGTGCCTTTTATATACGTTTGTCAGTAAAATTCCCACAGAAAGGTATTTTTTAATTGACAAAAACAGTGTT